TCTGAGGTCTGCGCTCACCCCAGAGCAGCCTCTGCCCCCCAAAAACAGCTTTCACGGGGCCCCACGGTACCTCCAGCTTGTGCGAGGCCAAGGAGAGGGCGGCGGGGTCGAGGTTGGAGGATGCGATGGCCTCGTTGAGCTCCACCTCCTTTTTCTCCAGGACTTCGAGGAGCCTTTTCAGCTTGCGCTCCAGCAGCAGGTTCTTGAAGCCTGTTTTCTGCTGCACCTCTTGGATGGCTGTGGTGAACTTCTGATAGAGCTCATCTCGCTCCACCTGCACCTGCGCCCCAAAACAGTGACCCCTTCACCCCGGCAACCCCGCAGAAAGGGTCCTGCAGCTTGGCCCTGCCTGCTTCAGCAAGACCCCAGCCGTTCCCCACGGCTCCTGCAGCCCCACAGGGGAGGCACAGGGCACCCCACCAGCAGCAGGGGCTCCCTACAGCACCATTTGAGACCCCAAAGAGGGCCCCACGGCACACGGGGTCTCTCCTCTCCTCTCTTCTCCTTGCAGCTGGCAGCAGTCCCCGGCTCACAGCGAGTTAATGAGTGTCCTAATTAGGACACAATCTCTCTTCCACAGCCTGTTTCTGAATGCACCGAATCTGTTGCTGCCTTAATGACGGATTGTTAACGAGGCCTTGGATCAACGTTCATATTCCTGGGGACTTCTACGAATTGCAAATGAGCTCTGCTCCTGCCTCGGTGGATTTATCTGGGTTAGCTGGGAGGGGGAGAGGCCGAGGCTGGGAGAACTCAATCAACAGAGCCCATCCCGGCACGGATGTGGGAGGAGCAGCCCCCCAACAGCAGCAGCAGCAGGAAGGGACAAGCTGTGGTGACCCGTGACGATCTCCCCCCGTGGCTCTGGCATGGAGGGGACCTCCGGAGCGTGCGCGGTTGCCTGGTGAAGGACAAGGCCAGCGCTGTCTGCTGACCGTGGGAGAGGCCCGAGCTGGGAGCAGCTTTGTGGGAAGCAGCAGATATCACACGGCTCTGGATTAGAGCTCTGGGAAGCCTGCAGATAAGCACAGCCCCGGGTCCCTGTGCCCAGCCCCCGTGGAGGGGACAGGGGCTGGAGAGGGGAAGGGCATGGCCAGGCCCAGCCGCAGCTCTCACCTTCTTGAACCGCTGCTCCAGCACCACGTGTTCCCACTGCAGATCCTTCAGCTCCTTGTGGGTGACTTTCAGATGGGCTTTTGTGTTCTGCGAGGGGAAGGGACAGTGAGAGAGGACCGGGTCTGTCTGGGAGGCGGGGGTGATGTGTTACAGCACGGGAGGAGAGCGACCAGCAAAGAGATACGGGTGAGATAAACCAGGGAGCACCCACACCAGCTCCTATCCCTCTGCTGCTCTTGGTTTTTTTTGCCACCAGAGTCCTGTGAGTTCCACCAAGATCTTACAAACACCCAGAAGAGTTTTTTTTGCCACCAGAGTCCTGTGAGTTCCACCAAGATCTTACAAACACCCAGAAGA